AACAATTGTTTATAACGAACCAACACTTTTTTGTAAGTTGTATTAAGTATATTATTGTTAAAAAATACAGAATAGCTATCTACTTTCTTAAATAGAAAATGTTATGTATTATAGAGGTCGAAATTAGAAAATCTCCAATAGTTTTCAAAAGCATGAGGATAAACCCTAAAAAAGTATCGGTATGGTTTTAGAAATGATGGGACGAAAATTGGATTATTGGTGAATTTACAAATCTGACACACTCCACTGTTGTATGAACTCAATACCCCTTCTTAAAATTTCGTTATTTTCGTCATTCGTCAGTACATGATTTTATAAAATCGTAGTTAATCAAGTTTTGGACTTAGAGTTTTGAAAGTGGTATGAGTGCATTTCTAAGTACTTCTACTATCGTCCTATAATGATTTCCAAAACAGCAAGTTCAAATAATGTCCGCACGGCGTGTAAGAATAGGATAAAAGCGTGTTAAATGAAAATAGCGTGTTAAAGTAAAAAGCGTATTAAATGAAGATAGCGGGTTAAAATAAAAAGTGTGTTAAATGAAGATAGCGGATTAAGGTAAAAAGCGTGGTAAAATTTAAATTTTTTTAGGTTAAAATTTATATTAGCTGGTTTTCACGTTTTTCGTTGTACGCAAACGAGTATTACCGAATTATTGACAGTACTATGACAGTAAAAGACAATAGTCTTTTGGATTGCATCGATTATTCAGTTTATCGTGTATAATTTTTAAAATTTTCTAGCACCTAACAATTGGACATTTGGCCTCTGTAACGACTGTTTTTACGGATTATGAAAGTATATTGTGCAGCGTAATTAAAATTGAATATCGATAAGTAAAAAAAAAAACTTATAATCGTAAAATTAAAATAAATACTTTCGTAGATTGTTGTATCAGTAAACAGTGTGTGATTCAAAACTTGGCTGTATATATATACTCATATATAGATATTACCACGGATTTTTTTTCTGCTAAAATTATTATGTAATAATAAATGAATAAATGTATTTTTTTATATTGTATTATATGATCATTTTAATAATTTTTATTCCTAACTTAAAGTGAACTCTTAATTGTAAACGTAATATTTTCTAAAAGTATACATAGTATTTAATACGCTTTTTCAAGTATTCTATAAAGCAATCACATTTTTTAAAATTTTTCATCGATACATGTTATAATGGTCAGTTCAAATATATAATGACTTGAGGTGGAATATATTTTAATAGATTTGAACTTAAGAAGGCTGACCTAATAACATTACATTAATACGTACGTTAAATACATATTGAAAAAATTATTTAAATATGATTATATTTAATATATGAAATTAAGAAAAATAAAACAAAAATATTAAAATATTATTGAACTATTAAAATATTAAAATATTATTTTAATATTTTAATTTTATTTTTCTTAATTTCATATTCTAAATATAATCATATTTAAATAATTTTTTCAATATGTATTTAACGTACGTATTAATGTTATTAGGTCAGCATTCATAAGTTAAAATCTACTAAAATATATTCTATATTATACATATTATAATATATTATATATATTATATATATTATATTATGCATATATTATATGTATTATTAAAATACGCAGCAACTAATTTTAGAAAATGTATAAATAATAACAGAATAAATATAGGATTTTAAAATTGTTATATATTTCGAAATAAATCATAATGGAAGTAAATTATTCAAAACAAATCGCTCAAGAAAATAAATGTGTGTTAATAATTATACATTACGATTTTCCAGGGTTTCACACATAGACTTAAATAATATGTAAGAGGGTGGGAATGGAAATAAAGTTGTTCTTCATGTAAAACATTTGAAATGCAAGTCTACCTAATGAGTATTTCAAAATAACCGTCATGCATTTATTGCTTTACTGTCAGATACAACGAAGAAAAACGTTTAAAAAAAGCTGTGTTAAAGTTAGTTTATCAAATAAAATATTATAATACGTAACAATCACTCATATACGGTAAATTGTTTTTTGTAATTATTATATCTGCATATTTTATTTTTATCATCTTATCGTAATCATTTACTATCAAAAATATAATATAGTGAAGATGATTAATATTTGGATTGTAATTAAAAAGAATAAAAATAGAACTATTCTGTGGTTAATATTCTTAAAATCATGACAAAGTATTATTAATTAATTAAAAATTATTAAATATTTCTAATTAAATCAATTTAAATAAAATATAAGTGCTTGTTTTAAGTATATGAATTAGTAGATATATCAGTATATATACAAATATTCATGCGCTTAGTGCATTTTTTAAACTCGTTAATGATTTTTTAAATCAAAAATGGTCGTCAATAATTGCACATATACAATAACACTCGAGAAAACTTTGATATTTTATTTATACTGATATTATAAGAAATTTTAAAAATTTCTTATTAATATAAATGGGGTAGTAAAAATGTACATGCCATTTTAATTTGTTTTATTTGTTTCTGTAATATTGTTTATTCTAGTACAGTCAACTCGCGGTATAACTAATACAACTGTCGGTCCTTTGATAATCTTGTGATACAACGAAAAATTAAATGTATATTAGTCCCTATAGAACGAAGTGTTTTTTGGTCACAGTTCTCGCAATGTAGCGAAATTTTAAGAATATATTTCGGCTATTATTAAGCGAAAACATAACTTTCATGTCGTCGTTCATAACGATACACGTCTGTTAAATATAAATTAAACTTGCTATTGTGGAGTTTATTTTAGTATGTTCCGTTACAGTCCCATGTAAGCTCGAAGGAAGCTAAATCAAGTTTCCGCGCGATCTTAAATTATTTACAGAGATATGACATCGATGATAATGTGTTTTGTACCATTTTAAATTTGAACAACACTATTGATCGCATAAGTGCAAGTGGCTACACACAAACAAAAATAACCGATTTTTTAAATTAAAGAAATATATAAATATATACGTACACAATAAGTAAAAAAAAAAAAAAATGATTAAATAATAAATATCAACTAACGTATAAATGTATGTAACTAATAAAATATGTGATAATATTTAATATGTATGTATGTAATTATAGAAATCTAACATTTCATTGAAATCTCGTTTAAAAGATTTTTGTTGATTTATGATTTTGATACAACGAATTTCGGTATAACGAACTTTTGATATACTGAACTTTTTGCTCGGTCCTTTGAAATTCGTAATATTGCGAGTTGACTGTATACAATTAGGCTTTTAGTTATTTATTTAACTTAATTTTCATGTTTTTAATAAAATTAACTTTGTGACCTTAGAGCCGAACTCGAGGAAGCTCTAGTGTGTCTATATGTTTGCTGCCCTTGCGTCTAAACCAAGAATGTATTTTTAATATTTTGAATTGTCAGTGTAAGCAAGAATTTAATAATGTAAAATAATTTTTTTTTCCCGGAATCAAACTTTTGTATAGTAAACCTGTGTTATAACTAGTGTTGTGTTTTTTCTAGACAAATTATCTAGATAGGTATTTTTTATTTTTTATCTTATATAGATAAATAAAAAATATGTTATCTAAGATAAATAATTAAACATCTAGATAACATTTTTAAATATTTATATTTAAATTATAATTAATGTAAATTAGGTACTTTATATTTTCCGATTACAAAAGAGTAAATTTATATTTAAATATAATAGGTAAAAATAATTATTTTAACTATTACTTATAATAACAAATATTAGTATTATAATTTATAATTTATAAGTATAGGTACCTATATATATTTTTCATTCTTAAATTATTAGATATATCAATTTCATATTTTAAATGTTCTTAGTAAATAGTAATAAACTAATAAACGTTTCTACGTATCAGCGTATTCACCAACTGTCAACAGGATAACCCTATTCTACAATAAAAATTTGAAATTATCACTTGATATGAAGGTGTAAAGAAAATTTAGAGCCAAATTAATTTTGAAGTTTTGTTTTTTGACATTAAATTTTATGGTGTTTTAAAAATTGCCTTTTACTTAATTTAAAAAAAATATTTTTGAAATAACATTTAGTTGACTTATAAAGTTACATAATATTATGAATTATTTAATATACTTTATTCACCTTAGGTTTATAATTAATAGATTAGGTTAGGTTAGTTTTTTTGACTAACTAATTACTACAAACAAATTTAAAAGCTTAGGTATTAGGTTATTATTTAAGACTTGACTTTTTTGTATAAATATATTTTAAATATTACTCAAATATTAAACAGTTAATTTAGTAAATCAATGAAATTCAAATAAAAAAAAATCAAATATATTTGGAAAGTTCCTTACATCATAAAATAATAAAAATAAAAATGTTTAGTTACTCTGTATCCATACAATTAACACACTTTGATACTTGAACGCCACTGTTTTACAAATCGTTTTTTGTTTACAGAACAAACATTTGAATACTTCGTATCTTTAGAACACACGTAACACCTTCGTTGTTTTTCGTGATGGCAAAATATAAGAAAAACCCTACGTAACTGGTATCATCGAGTCTATTATGACTCGAAACCGATATAAATAGATTTTTTAATACGAAATACGTAATAATTGTTAATAACAAAAGACGTAATATGTTGTTTGTAGCATTGAGATATTCTACAGTGAAAAAAGTGCGATCTATTGAAGAAAACTTAGAACAAAATGTCATGGGTATTTTTTAACCCGACGATACTAGTTAAGGGTTAATGTTTTTCATGAACTTAGCCTAAATTGTGAAATGTTATTAAGTCGTAATATTATAATGTTTTTACATTCAGCAAAACCGTTAGTCATTTTGTCAATAATACGGTTATATATATATACACATACAGACACATGTATAAAACTTTATTAATTTTTTTTATTGATAGTATAATTACGGTTGTGTAACGGAAAAATATCGATGCATAATATGGGATAATATGAGTACACAATTGTGTAATATATATATATATATAATAAAATACGACGAGTCTGATGGTAAATTATATCACCGTTGTTAATCAGTAACAGTAACATTTTGTTTTTACCGTGACGAGCACATACAACGTATAGTACAGTATCATAACTGCTATAAGAGCCTATCACTGCGAATCAATATTACATATCTGGTAGTACATAACTTGTGAAATGGCTGCGACTGTGTCTGGTTCACTGGACATTAACGAATTGCCAATTTCGCGTCGCGAGTTGACCAAAATTTCGTTTGAAAACATCATCGAAGGTAAGTTTTACCGTATAAATATTATGGAAAATGACATATTTTTTATATTGTTATTCGTGTATTGTTCATTATGGTAAATAGTAAATACTAGGGAACGGATTTACGTGCACAAAAAATCTTCAAAATATACTTCTAAAAGTGCTGCAATATTCTACAAAATGTACATTCAGTTTTAAATATGCATTTATAATTAAATCGAAAATATTTTATTTTAAATCAAGTAAAAATTTTACAAATATTACAATACAAAATTGAACCATTGGTTTTAAAAATGTATTTTTATTAGTTTAAGTTTATCTGTAAACGACTCCTAATTGGTGTTTTTACTTTAGACATTTTAAAGTAACGAACAAATAAAATCAAAAAAAAATCACTAAACACAAAACTGGGACAGTTTTACACGTATGATGAACCCACGATACTGACTGGTTTTCCATAATTTCGTCGAACACTTGAACTTTATTATTAATTTTTTTGTAATTAATATAATTGATATACATGTTACATACGAATAAGTCGTTTTATTTTTGGAAATAACGACCGGCAATCTTAATTTTATCTGTATATGTGAATGTGAAAATATAAGGTAAAACAAATATGTACTATAAATAAAAATATGCAAAATATAATTAATGTTATTAAAATAAAAATTAACTAAATTAGAGACAATTCTTATCAGATTTAAAAAACTTAATCCAATATATATATATATGTATTTGTAAATGAATCCTACCTCTATAAATTACTATAATACATTTGTCGCGTCGCGACACGATCATAAATGCACATATGAGAAATGCAATGATAATATATACTATAAAATGTAGAGATTAGGGTGTTGTATGGATGTGTACAGGCTATTCGCGGGGCAGCTGTTTAATCCTTACGATCCCGAATATTTATAAAAAAATATAAAACAATTTAAAAACTTATTTGTGTAATACTCTGGGACAAGACCGAACAAAATTTTCAATATTTAATAAATATTTTTTTCATGCGCCAACTGGGTTTTAAATTTTTTTTCTTTTTATTAAGAAACTGGTATTTAGTTTGATTTTTATTTTCTATGCAATTTTAATTCATTTAAATAAAGGTAAATGCCTTTTTTCATATTAAACTATTTTAGATTGTGAATGGAACGAGTTTTACCATGATGTATATTTTTTTTGTGTTTGTCTACGCAATTTTTAATAGGAGCAATGTCGTTCTCAGCTTTGTTGGGCATCGAGAAAATTTAATCTTCGAGATCCCCTTATTTTTTATGGTTAGGTCTGATTTCCAAACATAAAAATGTACCTAATATATGAAAACTAATAATTAAATGGTTTTTGACATGAAATATTATTACAACTATACTGTTTACTGTTTTAATATGTTTTATTTTGTTTTCGTAAAAAAATGTATTTTAATATGCCTATTGTTAAATGGTGTAATACAGTGCTTTTCAAACTGAGAGGCCTCCTAGGGGATCGTGGTTATATTAGAGGAGGGCCATGAAATATTCATTTTATCTAAACAAGTTTATTGGGGTTTTAATTAATTTATTTGTATTTATACATGTATAAAGTTAAAGGGCATCACACATTTGCGCAAAAAAAAAAAAATTAAATCGTTTTGAGTATAGCCAATTAGCGCCAAATTTACCTGCGTAAATATTTTATATTAACGACTTGTTTAATTTAAAATTTATACCTATTAATTATTTATTATTGTTTAAAAAAAAATATGTATTACTGATGATTATTTAAAAAAAAATTGTACAATTCACTACAGTTAAGTATCATTTAAATAAAATGTTATTGATTATTTTTCTTACTATTATTATTTAATTATTATTTGAGCAAAAAATTGTATTAATTTATTTTAATTATCTTGAAACCAAATAACATCCGTATAATTAAGTGTTCGTACAACGGAGGTTCGGATAATCTGTACTGAATATGAATATTGAATATAAACCAAGTTATTATTGTAAAATGTTTACGTAGGTAAATTTAGCGCAAATGGGCTGGCGGAAATAATATACCTTTTTTACTTTGGCGAAAATGGGTTTCAAGTTTAATGCTATAATTAAGTTTTCTCAAAATTACATACAGGTATTAAAAAACATTAATTATGTGTGAAACACATTTAATATACATATTAATAGTTAATCTGTGTGAAATAGTACATGTAATTTTAATATTGAATTAAGAAAAAATAATGATTTTTATTTAAGGAGCCTTGACAGTTTTACATTAAATTTAGGAGGCCCTATGCCAAAAAAGTTCGAGAATAATTGGTGTAGTGCGATGTTATTATATTTATGGGAAAAAATTAAATACTTTAAGATATGAATAACAAGTTACAACTAATATTAATATATAACTATGTAATATACTCGTATAATATGAAACATAAAATTTAAACTCATATCAGATGGTTGAATTCAGCGGCAGTGCCAAATTCAGGCCGTGGCCCACCTGTTATTATTTTGTACACAGTTTTTAATAATTTTAATTTTTTGCGTGTGCCATTACAATTTGGCCATGTTTTCAAAGGTTCGATACTTCTAGGCTAGAGAGTAGTAACCAGTGATATCTTTATTGTCGTCGATGCACAATGCATGTAATATCTATTTGGTCACGTACTGTCATATTATTACCTTTTATTAATTTTATTCATAAAATATTATTACTATTTACTCAATATGTCTAAACGAACTATAAACTATTTTTTTTGACGTGGCTAATAAAAAATAAGTTTCTCCTGAATTATTTGTTGTTCTATAGAACTTATAAGTTCGATATCAACCTAAATATTTACTTATTAGTTGATTATTTATTTATTAGGTACCTAAATATTTTGTTATATTTTAATTATTTTATATTTGTATATAATACTAAAAATTCTTAATCTTAAGGTACTTAACACTTATAATTTAGATTACAGACTCCTAATCACTGAGATTGTAACGCGATCGTCAATTTTCAAGAGAGGGGGAGGTCAAATACTTAAAGAGATTAAATAAAGAAAATTTATTACAAAAGTGCTGTACTTATGAACGGCGGGTCAAAAAGGGGAGTCCAAATAAAGGGCGTTTCGGCCTCTGTCAACACCTCCATTTTTTTAACTACTGTGCTTCTGTGACTGCTATTATATATGTTCACCTTTTTTTTGGCTCACCCGGAGAAAAATTTCTGGCGCCACCACTGGTCGAATATAGGGCTCACGAAGATAATTCATTTCGAGAAATACTCATGACCGGTGGGCTCCAATAAGATTACAGTAAAATATAAGTATTATTATTTCACTATACATCGCATGTGATGTAAATGTAATTAATTAGTCTCATTGCAATAATGCTCCGATATGGGCCCGTTATCTTAGGTTTCAGTGAAGTTTTTTCATTTTTTTCGTAAGTTGGGCCTCTTAAAAATAAGTCTAGGGCCGGACCCCGAACACATAACCGGGAAAGCCGATCTGAATACGACCTTAACCAGAAGGATTGCTCAATGATCATAATCACAAAATATTTTTGATTTTAAATGTTATCTAGTTAATACTTTGAATAGGACAATTTTACGAATTTTCTAACCATTTTCTTAATAATTGTGAAAAACTAACGAGTATACCGGGTTTTGACAAAATCGAATTGATTGTTTACTAGTAGTGTAAAAAATAATAATCGTAGAAACATATAATTTTCACTGAATGCTTATATGACTGTGTGCTGTAGATGAAATAATTTTTAACAGATTTCTTATAAGGTATTAGTAAAATATTGAAGTTTTCATATTTTCTTAGTCTTATTTTAAAAAAATGTTGATAAAATAGTTTTGGTTAAAAATTGTTAAAAATTAAAAAAACTTGAAAATATAATACAAAGTTCTTTATACATATTTATTATTGATTAAAGAAAAAATATTGAGTTTAATTTAAAAAAATAGTTGTACGAGTGCTTGAATATTAAATTTTAACAAAACGAAAAAAATCACGAAAATCCTACCGGATACCACAATTTTGTAGTCAACAATTCATAACATTTTAAATTTTAATACTTAAGGCTTGAATATTGAATATAAAATTCTTCATATGTTTTTATTTGTAATCATAAAAAATAATAAATAGTTAATTGTAATAATATATTATATAATAATTAATTAAATATCAAATAAGCGTTACAAAATGACGAAGTCGTTTATGTCAACGAATTTCCATTAATGATATTTTCTATTTAGTTAAAAAACATTTTATAGTTTCTTATGCAAAATACAAGAAGGCAATATTCTATTATTTTTTATTAAGTATTAAAAATAAAACAAACAAGAAATTTCAAATAAAATATTAAAAGCTTGAACATATTTGGATTTAAAGATTTTAAAAAACAAAAATAAATAATATCATTGATAGGTTTTAATATTAACTAATTATATTTTTTAATAAGATCCATTTTTCTTAATTAGTCTTAATATTTTACTTTTAAATGTATATTTTGTTACCAAAATTGGTAATATCTACAGAATATATTTTAGTTTTGACTTAGTCTTTGATTTATTGATTAATTTATTTTAGATTTAAAAAAAAAATCTTCATAAAAACTTATTGCTTTACGATTATCTCATAACTTTACTCACGAGTTTCAAAATAACGTAGGATATTTTAATTATTGACAACATAATATTCGTATAATTGCCACAGTTTAAAAATATTTTAAACACCTACGGACTATATGTAATTATCAACTAAAATATTAATAAATGACAATTTATTAACATGTATCAATTATCAGCCTTCGTAGATGAATAAATACACGTTAAAAATAAATAGCCTTAGAGTCGGTCGAAAATTAATAGTTGATTAGAATTACGTCATGATGAGAATGATTAAGAATAAAAAAAATTGACTATATTTAGATTTCGTATTGTATTTATTTATATATATATATATATATGTGTGTTACCGGCAATATGGATAATCCGGTATTTTGCAAAATGCTTAGGCATTATATAAAAAGCCAAAAATCACTCGGTAATATACATAATACGAGCTTTGCCTAGATATGTATAATGCCAAACGTGGAGTAGGCAATATGATGAAAATAAATAAAATTAGGCATCGCCTATTATCAACGACTTTACTTATCGTTTATCATAAATGCGCGTACACGATTTAACACAATAAAGATTAAGATTCTTTTACTTCTATAATATTAAATCTGAGGTACAATATTGAACGTACTAATAATATTATTACAAAATCGTCATTTTTCTCGTCATTTTCGTGTCTCGTTATGGTGTTGCAACTATGGATACGATTTATATGAAGTCAAATTTTTATAACAAATTACAACTTTTTAAAAATTTGGTCCCTAATACTAGTTTTTATCTGATAAACAGTATAATGAGTTGATAAAAATTCAATCCACAATAATTGCCCAAGGTCTATTAAAATGTGTTTGTAAGTCCAAGTGTCAAAATAAAAAGTGTATTTGCCTTAAAAATAAAATTTTGTGTATTTAAAAATATTACTTTTCTACAACATGTTATAATGAATAAATAGTAGTTTAAGTAAAATATTTATGTGAGTAATAGTAATAATATAATAATAGATAAAAATTAAATTTTGTCTGTAATATGAGTAATAATGTATAATAATTATAAGAATCTTAATATAATATATAATAAAATGTTTTGTACTTTGTCTAAAAAATAATAGCATTTTGCATAATGCCTAGGTATTTTATAAAATACCTTGGTTATATGTAAAATAATAAGGAAATCATATGTTTTATTGCCAAATATTATATATTATATTGCTCAAAATGACTCGGTAATTTGCATAATGCCTAGGCATTTTGAAAAATATCTGGGTTATCCATATTTCCGGTAACATATATATATATATATTGTACAGAAATATGAGAAATAAATATTAACTCCAAATAAACCATTGTTTAATTTTTTTCAAAATGTTATTTATATTATGTATTTACATTTTTTTTTGTAACATATAACAGTTCATATTTAATTACATAATACACAAGGCTCTCGTCTTAAAATTCTATACAGTTGAACTTTTTCCCTTGAATACCCCTCGCACCGGTACTGATTGTTTACTTATTTTTGTTATTTTTTGGATTGTTAAATTCAGTTATATTAAGTTCTAAATCTTGAACCGTGAAACAAATATGTATTGATTTCTTTTATCTATTTCTCGAAATAATACGCTAAGGCATATAAAGTTTCAAGTGTTGTAGTGATACTATTCTCGGTATCGTGTAACAGATTTTCCGAGTTAAAACTAATTTTTAGAATATTGTACAGTTAAAAGCTAATTACATAGTAAGAACAGGTATACAAATGTATTATAATTATACATGAAAGAGTTATGTTATATTATTATTATTAATCATAGTGGCGAATGATTTCGAGTATGTATAATATATAAATATAGGTATAAAAAAGACACAGATTAAATGGGACGTAAAAAAATTACTATTTTATTATCATTTATTATGCATAATAAGACAGTACTTTTTTTTATTTTTTTACAAGCAATAATTTATTATTACTATTATTATTATTATTATTATTAATACAGTAACAAATTATGTATTTCGTTTTCAACTTTTCTATGAGATGGTTTACTTTTTATTTCCACGTAACTACTAAAATGACCGAAAATAGTATTATTACATAATATATAATGTAATGTAATATTATTTATATAATATAATGTAAAATAATTACAAAACGATCTTAAACATGTTGTAGACTATAATTTTTTTCAGTCAATATTCTGTTATCTGCAAATTAAATAAGTATAATTATCAATTATTATTGCCTATTATTAATTACGTTATTATAGTTATTATAGCTGTCATTACGAAATTTGTGAACAAAATTTGACCAGTTAGGAAAGTACTTCGAAGATAGGTAATAACATCATATAGTATGTATATGAAGGAAATGTTTTATATAATAACATTGCACGGGATGAGTATGATGAACAGTGGCGCAATTAGGATTTATTTACAGTGGTTTTACCTTTGAAAAAAAATTTAAATTTGGAAAGTGTTTAGTATAGAGAATGAGGTAAAGATGAGTTAACTTCATATTTTGAGGGTGGAGGGGTTGTTACCAATCTCGATCGCCCCTTCTTGCGTCACTGATGATGGATGATTAACGTGACCATATTGTTCTTTTGAGAAATGTGTCCTGTTATCTCAAAGAATGCGAAAATGTCGCACTTTGAAGAAAAGGCGATCGATGAATCCGATGATTAACAGTGAAAATAATATAATGTGCTTATATGATTTTTAAAATAACGAAATTATTAAAAACAAATGAAATGTCCTACATGATCGGCGATAACATCCAAATACAACAGTTTTCTATCTCATAGGTACATTTTGTATAATTTCATTTCTGATAAACTCGATGAGCAAATAGAAGATAATTAAAAAAAATTATTAGATTCTATTTATAAATGAGTGTTTACCTAAAAAGTGCAACAAATAAATAAAATGTTGACATTACAAAAATAGCCTAAAAATTAGAGAAATAAAATCTTGTCTACGATTTCAGGGAAGTTTGAAATGAATGTGTATCTGACTTTGAATGTCTTAATTGATTAACCAAAATTATATACTTTCGCTAGAACTTCTGAGTCCTAGTTATTACATAATAATTAGTACAACTATAGTCTTCAGGGCGATGCATCCGAATCGCATGCCAAAAAAATAAACATGTATTGGAATGTCTAAATCGCATGCCATCTCTTAGATGGATCTGTCCGAATTGCATGCCGTGCTCCTCCAAGTTTATTTATCATGCATATGTGTACAACTTAAACTTTATTTTTGACTTTTCTAATTTTTTAAAAAAGTAGATGAATAGAAACTGATAAGTTCACGAACGTTTACAACAAGCTCACCTTTCAATATTATTGTACAATAATTTTTGAAAATAAAATTTGAAATAATCAATTACAAAAAGGGTTTAGTTTTTTCACTTAACATATTTTGAACTTGTGGTTTTATGATTACACTACAGTTAAGTTATTATAGAAAATGTATTGTTTACGTTTCAAAACGTACTATAATATTATAAGACACAGAAAAACACAGAGGTGATATCCTCTTTTGATCTAAATTATATTATTATTATTACTATTATTTATGGTCATACCTCTACTTTTATTATCTTAATATTATTTCAGATTAATATAATAATGCTTATAAAATTGAGCATCAAACATTCAAGTGACCGATTCGTATGTCTGTGAAACAGACCACAATACAAACAATTGGTAAAATGTTTATTCGGATATAAAAAATATTTCAATCTAGAAACTAATCAGTAGTAACAATCATATCATTAAGAGTTAAAATAAAATAATAATAAGTCAAAATATAGTTTATGTTGTGCACATAAATGCATGATAAATAAATTCGTGGGTATACGGTATACCCCTCTAAAACTGCGTCCACACCTAACAAACGTTTGGGGAAACATTGTTTGTCAAACTTTGTTAAACATTCGTTAAACGTTTGTCGAACATTTTATCAGTACAACGAACGTTTGTTTATAATTCAGTTGTTCGCTTTATGTTTACCAACAGTCGTGACCATGTCAAATTTTGAAGAAATTGCATGTTGTGTGGGTGCTGCTGGTTATATTATAATGCATAATAAAACAAAAAACAAAAATAAGTGGTGGGAAAGACAATTTTTTCAGCGAAGAAAGACTTACAGTGGTGAGAATTTCATTTTAAATTTACATGACGGTGATTTATTAAGTAATTTTACCAGAATGTCAAGTAGTGATTTTTAATTTTTAATTAATTTAATTGGCCCACAAGTCACAAAACAAATCACAAATTTTCGTGAAAGTATTTTTATGTTGGTACGTTTAGCAATAACTTGATGATTTTTTTTTCTATTGGTGATATGATTTATATTATTATTTAATATATACGTATAACTTAATAATTACTTAACTAAATTTAAAATTATTTATATAGAGATACATCGGTATACAAGTACAAACAAACATTCAAAATGTTCGCCTAGTGAGCGAACATTTTTGTTTGGAATATTGACAAAAAAATTGATTTTGAAACGCATCTACAACAAACCAACGTTTAAAAAAACATTCGTCGAACGTTTGCTAGATATTTTTTGGTGTTCGGTGAACGTTTGATAAACGTTTTTAAATTGTTTATTTGGTGTGGATGCAGCTTAAGATGTGACATACAATTCGGAACAAATATATAAATAAAATATTAATACCATCAGGTATGGATCATGGGGTTTAACCACCTCCCTTTATTGGCCTATGGCCTTATATTTTTTCCGAATCAATTCCTATTATATTTGCAAGGAAGTTACATGAACATTTTTGAATAATTTTTTATTTACAATATCTATATAAATATAATTATTTTACCAAAAATATGATTGATATGATTTAGTAATAATTCTTTGATTTTTTACAAACCCCACCTTCCTTCTATCGAAAATTGTTGAGAACTAAGTTTAAAGAACTATTAATATGCACTTAATAGTATGTATACTGTGTATTTTATAGTTAATATAGTATTATACAAAATAATATAGTTAATATTATAGTTTTAATACTTATACTATATACAAATCTTGTATAGTATATGTTGATAAATGTTATTATTCAATTAATACAAATTAATACTAATTCGAATGTACAAGTACAAATTTACAATACTAAAGTAAATTTCTATAGAAACAAATTTGAATACACTTTTTCTGGGAGAAAAGTCTAAATTACATAAAGGACTAGTTATTTAAGATGCTCTCCGCAATAATAAATTTTATTTTTAAATAATTTAACTGATATTTCGATTATAACGCCTAATATGATTTTAGCAATTTCACCCGAACTGTCAAAGATTTTCGAGCTCGTGAGCGTGGAAGTGATTCAATGTCCCAATTTAACGCAACCACCGTTTTACTTGGCCGCCGAAGGTAAGTGGTAATAGAGTACGATGGAGATAAAAAGAAATAATTGCCCACTAATCAATAGAGTGAAAAAAATATACACAAACAAGATATAACCGTACCGATGTAAAGTGAGAACATCGAATTTTAATTGAGAAATTATGTTTTAAAAAATAAAAAATTAGTACAGCTATAGAAATATACATTTTTTACAGTATGGCATTAGGTAATCTTATCAATAGAATACAAATAACGTTTTATGATAAGACTTTTTTACACAATTTTAAAGTAATATTATTATTAATATATATATATATCATAACAAAATGCTGATGTCAGCTTAAAGAGTAAAATGTATAGAACTTTTGAATCTGATCAAAATGTTTATATTTTATTGCCAAGTAGGTATTTACTTAATTTAATCCCTACGTTTCCACATTAATATATTATTAACAAACATTTCTAAAAATTAATTCTGTGCTTATTAATTTTATATTTTGTTCATTAAAAGTGATCCAAATGTAATCGAATCTATTATGAAAAATAAGCAAATTTTTTGTTATCTTCATAGTAATTTCTACATTTTTTTATAAGTTTTAAAAGAATAAGCGTTTTGGACAGGCAATATCCCTGTTGAAATGATTAATTTCAAGTTTCAAATACGATTCACATTTTTACATTTTTTACGATAAATTAGATATTACATTTTTTTAACATTTGATTTATAACATATAATTTTGTATGTTTACGTAGGATTAAGTGGCAACGAAACAGCAATGCAATTCGGCGGTTTACCGTATGTAATGCCTTTCGGAAAGAAAGAAAAATTGTACGACATGAAAGACATCATGAAAATCACTGGGTTCGATCCTTTGTTCGTGGTCGGAGCAGGAGCGGGCCCTTGGCCGTACGCTAACATCTGCAGCGAGGTAATCTTAATAACAATGATATTTTATAGCACAGGGGTTCTTGACTTTTTTTGACTACATATATTTTAATTACTGCACATTATTGAAAACGGGTATTGAATTTCTGTTAAATAGGGATTTTTAAGGAATTTGTGAGGGAGAGGTTGTTAAACTGTGTAAAAAATTGCATTTTCGTCTAATGCAAGAGTTTATCACAAGTAATGCTAACGTAATCGGAAAAAAGATATATTTTGATAAGGCTTATATCACGCACGTCTCGTATAACACTTTCATGCTGGATTGATTTTTTTCAATACTAATAGCTATGTTGCAATACAATTTTATTTTTAATATTTTTATTTTGTTTGAAATGCATATTGTTAAAGAAATATTAATAATTATTTAATTTTTAATCATAACTTAGAAAATATTAGTTAATTAAAATTAGTGATTGGTTTCTAGAATAGTCGATCACTTTATAAAAGTAGAACTATGAATAGATGGACAATATATAAATAGATAAAACAATAATTATCACACGAAAACAAAATATAAATCCGATTTTGTAACCGAAAATAGTTTTATCAGACATTTCAAATAGTCAAATAATAATATATGGGAGTTTTGGATTAACAAATATTTTATTTTACTTATAATTGATTTGATATTTATCAGATTATTTTATTGTGTCTTTGATTTCATCCTATCATCAACCATGATTTCGTATTATCGTATTTATGAAAACTTTTATTGATTTTTGAAATTATAGGACACGTATATATGAGTCTTTAGCACTGAAAGGATTAAAATCCTCATACTTAATGTTGGTATACGTTCATCGATACCTATTATATGCAAAAGGATCGGTTTATTTTGAAGTACATAGAGTATCCTCATATAATCAATATATATAATATATCAGTATCCTAAGGACCTATATAAAATATGCATAAGCGTGTGCAGACATAACTGGCAGGGTAGTCAAACATAACACATTATCATTTAATATTAACAAAAAATTTGCATTCGTAACTTCATTTAACTTAAAAACTATATTTCTCCAGTATTCTTACATTTTTTTAACGTTAACTAATGTTTCGAAGTGGTTGAAAATAATATGTTTATTTATTATTGTGATCATATTGAATATTTTGGTGAGGGTGGGAAGTTTCACAGAATAGTCAAGTATTTACCCTGACTACCCCGTGTGCACGCTTATGAAAATATGCATTAATTATCTCTTGATTATCATAGGACATGAGAAATATCTAATTATTTTTGTAATAGTGACTATACAGTTACATAATTACTTTCATTTAATTGAAAAAAAGTTAACAGTTGCTGAAGCATAATCTACGAAGAAAATGGGAGTTTCTCTTGTTTCTTTTTTACTAATTCACTTTTCTGACAGATGAAAATAGTTAGTTTAGTACTTAAATATTATTGCATTATTCTTCCTATTTATTACAATAATTAATTAAACAAATAAATAAATTAAAAATATAGAAGTTGTTTTATTCTATTTATGTATGATAACAATTTTGTTAGTAAATAAAAAAAATCGTAAATTGAATATAATGTATAAATAGTTAGTTGTTAATACTCATAAGCAATAATATTTTTTTGTATCACAATTTCTTATATAAGAAATATCAAAAATATAATCACTTTTTTTGTTATTGTATAAGTTTACACTACGAAATTCGTCAAATGTAAATTTCCGCAATTTTAATTTAATTTATAAATAACTAGCTGACCCGACAGACTTCGTCCTGTCAAAAAGATTTGTAATGTGGCAGTTTTTGTGCCTACGTATTTTAAAAAATTCTCCTGAACAGAACCGTCACCTTTTTGTTTATCCTTTTTGTTCGTCGTCGTCGTCGTGTAGATAAGAATAAATCGAAACTATATTTATAACTTTATACGCAAGTCCAAATTAATTCTACAAATAGAATTTGTATGTGTATTGGTTTATGTTATCGGTGTGCATTTTATCGTTCATTATAATAAAATAGGAGTATTGGTGTACGCGCGATGCATGAGATTATTTTTATCGATAAACTTACGTTGAGTAGTTAATAATTTTTGAGATACAGCGATCAGTGAGTCAGTGGTATTTGGATTATATGTATAGATAACTAATTATTGACTAACATTATCGGACTTTATTTATGCCTATTACCGTGATATCCTCTTTCATTTAAAAAAAACTGTATGAGAATTGGATAAGAAGTTGCGAAGTCAATATAAATAAAAAAGGTATAATATAAGAAAATAGTATTTTTTTCATTCTCATTTTTTTTATATATAATAGTTGAATACCTCCTGGGTGAAGCCGGGTAAACCAGCTAGTTTAATATGAACTTTATACCATAGCAATAAAGCTCAAATTGACTACGTTTTAGTTACAAATCATTTGTATTAGAAAAAGAAAAGGGCTATTTTTAGAGTTTTTCCAGCAATAATTCTAATTTTTCTCGCCGTAAAAACCATCCTTGAACTTCAACGAACATTTGAAAAAAAGATTTGGCCAAATTGGTCCAGGCGTTGTTGAGTTATGCGCTTACCAACACATTTTGCGATTCATTTTTATATTATAATAGATAATATGAAATTTTCTTATACGAAAAAAAGTAATTTATGTAAAATAAAAATAAATTATAGAAATCTCAAATTTTTTTTTGTATCTACCGAAACTGTTAGGATTAATTTAAAATATAGGTACAATATTTTAATAATTTATTCAAATACTATACTAATTATTTTCATTTGTTGGAAATATAAATTAATAATGTTGAAATGAAGCTTGAGTAAATTTGAGGATTGAGGTATTTAGCACAAATAGTAACACTACTTTATGATTATAATAATAGTATAATACAATAAATATAACATAAAACTAATCTAGACACACTTCGTCTGACGTACCGTGTCCGAGAGTAAGTCTTGTAAACGACAAGAGCGTCGTTGATGTCATATAGTCATACTTATGTGTGTGTGTGTGTGTGTGTGTCATTAATAAGTATTGCTTCATATTACAATAAAAAGTTAAACCAGTGCTGGATTTAACCATTGTGCCGCTTTAAGCACTTATCAAATTGCCGCCTTTTAATATAAATATTTTTTCAGTCTAAAAAGCATACAATTCTAGTTGTTTCCTTTATTATTTAAAATTTTAATGATGTAAAATAAAAATATACAGTTATAAATATGCATACATACATTCATAAAAAAAAAAAACTTAATTATAAAAATATGGTATAAAATATAGTAGTAAAAAATGCTTAAATAGTTCAATTTTAAATTATATTCAAAATTAAATAGTTCATGCCTAGTACCCATCGGCTTTAATGAAATAAAACATTTTATAATTAGTTGCATTTATTTTAGTTCTAGTTACATATAATAAAAATTTAATATTAAAAATTATTTGCCACCCTTGAGAAATTATCGCCCTAAGCACTAGCTTATAGTGTTTACTGGGAAATACGGCACTGAGTTAAATTATGATACATAATATGTTACGTGCACCCTTGTGCTTGCAATGTGTGCATACTGATATTAATTGTATATTTCACAAAAAAAAAAATAAAAATAAAAAATAAAACAGCAACGTTTGCTGGATACTGGTTTAAGAAAAAATAGAATATTCTTTTCCCAGTAACTCAAAAAATAATATTTGTAGAACCGAAATTTTTACCGAATACTAATATTACCGTTCTTTAGATATATATATATATATATATGCCTGTACGTGTACAATAAGTATATTTTATGTGATATAAATAATAATAATAGAACTGTGAGGAACGTGAAAGTGATTTACCCATAGGCGTGCGCAGACCTGTATTCAGAGGGTTCCTATTATGCTTTTAGGACCTATCTTAACAAAATGTGTAAGCATATTTAACAAATTTTAATCTGTAAATAATTAAATAAACATAGCTTTCATTTTTTATTTAATATTGTGGTATATTAGTCCCAATGAGTACGTTTTCCTTGAATCTTATACATTTTTCTCAGACAACTTCAATTATTTATGATTTGAACTTTTGTAATCAACTGTAGCTGTTATATTATCATAATGAGTTTTTGCACGAAAAACTATAAAATTTATTTTTATTTTTTTTTTTGTTACAAAACATTATTTATTTTTTACTAAATATTTAAAAAAAATACATTTAATTTGAGCAACATCAGTCATAATACGGCCTATTACTCTAAGAATTGAACTGTAGGGCCCCATTTATAACATTTCGGGGGTGCTCAAGCACACCCGGCACCCTCCGTGCGCACGCCTATGGCTTCACTACAATAGAAATACCAGAACATTTTTTGAGTCGATGTGACAAAGTAGACAAATATTGCAAAATATGAGAACAAAAATATTAGTGATATAAAGTGTCATATAACCATTGAGATATAGCAGGAGAATAATATGTGAGAAAATATATTTATTTCATTAGATTTATATAATAATAAGAATTGTAAAATAATAGATAACAGAGTACTTCTTTTTAGTAGTTACCTATATATAGCTATATCTTATAAATGCGTATCTGTTGCAAGCAGTACACACGATTACATAAAACTTACGTATAATTTTTCTAACCGTCCTGAGAGCACAGTTTAAATACCATGCTTACTGATTTTTTTTTGATTTAGTTTTATTTTTATTTTTTTATTAATTATTACATGTTTATTTAATTAAAAAATATTTCACTATAAAAAAGTATATACTTAGTATTAAGATTTTAGTATCCCTATAATTAGCATAGCATGTGTATAGAAACCGAAAGAGTGAATTAAATTAAATATTATTATGATATGACATTATTCATACGATATTATTGTCTTATCAAATACACAACAGAGATTATTCAGAATTTCATCAACACTAAACACTAGATTTAAATAATAACAGACGCGTCATGTTGAACACTAGCGCAAGTCCAAACTCAATCACGCCTGACCCCGCGATCAATTCGCAACTGACGCACAAGTTCATTGGTCGACCGAAATTTAGATTATTTATAATTGATAAGATTGTTATTAAATTAATTGCATAAGGAAGTGGTAAAAATTAGTATTGACAACAAATGTGTTTTAAATATATTTTTCATTAAATTCCTTTATGTTTAGAAAAAATTATAAACTTTAATAATACTAAAATTGAAATTTTTTTAATATTTTTTATAAGCAATCAGAGTCGGCCCAAGCAAAAATAGTGTAATAGATAAAATAACTTAAGACAATATAATTTTATTATATAGGTAAGTGATTTTCACGAATGAATTAATTTAAATATTTTTCTTATAAACACCGATAGAATTAAAAAAAAATGTACAAGTCAATTTTGAAAATGCCGCCCCTACTAAAGTGCCGCTCTAAGCACGTGTCTAGCTCGTCTATACCTTGAACCGGCCCTGTACGCAATATGTAAAAAAATGAAATCGTACCTATGCACCTAAGCATGAGCCGCTACTGCTTATATATATATTACAGCTAAACTTAAGGGTACTGCTCAGAAAGCTCAGAGTTAGCCATTCTAGCTAACTGTTGAAATTCATGATCTTCATGCATTAAAATTGCTGCTTATATATTTACTTTCTTTACAGTGTGACTTAGCATATTTTCCTAATGTAATATATTCGTTAATATTAATATTTTTAATTAATTTTTGTTTTCGTGTAATTTTATAGCAGAAGCTTTCCTTTATTCCACTTATTGTAATGTGTAGGGTTGCAATATTGTTACAATAAAAAACCACTATATGTATTCGAAACAAATATCTATAAATAGACTAGTATAATTGTAATAAAAATGTACTTTTTTGATTTTATAATTTTTTTTTTTTAACACATCATGTTTCTACTGGACTATAATCATTATTGTAACTTAAAATTTACTTTTTGCTAATTAAAATAATTCAACTAAACAATATGGCTAGTTAGAGGCCATACATTTCTTGTTATCACACTTAATTTTTTCCAAAACATTAAAATATTCAATTGTAATGTCTTATCAATTGTTATTATCGTTATTTGTACTCATGTGTAACTAGAAGATTACTAGAAGATTTTTTAAATCAAAACCGAACCTAAATATGTGCATATATTATAAAATAACATTCAGGGAAATATTATTTTAAATTTTTATTTATTTATATTGATACTATTAGAAATATTTAATTATTTATCTGCTTAGTAATACGTTTAATATTATTTTTAGAGTATTAATCATAAAAAAATTAATTTTTACATACGTTGTTGAAAAAAAGTCGAGTGAATTTGTTGAACGTTTGGTTTACTGAATAAAAAAAAAGTGTTGTAAGATATAAATTTTTCAAAACTTTTAGTGTGCTTTATCCAGCGGGAAAATGTCGAATTACATTGACATCCATCCGAAATAATATTCCCTTACTGCCCCCCCCCCCTCAATCCACCAATCTTTGAACCCAATGCATTATTCGAATTTATTGCTCCATTCCATACATTCGACATGGTTTAAATAATATTAAAAACTCTTTGAAAAATTTGATTCGTTATTTTTTTTTTCGTTTCCCAGTTCATCGGAAACCTACGTATGACGAGCAACAATAGCGTCAACAATCGTTCTCACATTTACACGATTGACCCTAAGAATGACCAACTCGTTCACGAGGAACTGCCACAGAATGAAACGAGATTCTCGCATATGGCCCACTTCTTTACCAGCAACGGTTTCAGAGGAGAGGTATGTACCACTGTTACGTTATCTAACGTTAACTTTATAAGTTCTTTCATTACCGCTTAGAAATCAAAGGCTAACTCGGAGTGAATTTGAACTGTGGCCTCATAAATGTATTAAAAACATCCCTGGAAATGTGTCAATGTGAACATAGGCTCTATTTCCATGATAACTGTAAGAGTATATAGATATCATTCGATAATGAGATGTTTTGTCTTAGTCCATCACATGTTCAGTATTTTAAAAACTAACCATTTTTTAGATTTGAATTTGAATACAATAAAAGTTTCAAGTATTTTATATCCTGTTAAAAAAAAAAAAATTAATTTTCAGAATTTTCAGCGCTTCAATAAATCAAAAAACCGGTAGTTTTTACTATATTGCACGAGTAATAGTCAAAACATATCGATATCAAATAAGCAATGGTTTAAATAATAACTTTTTATTTCAATTATAATTGCAGTTCATTAATAATTATTTAATATTTACATATTTGAATTTCTTATAATTATATAATTTATATAGCTAACAGAAAAAAACATTATTTTTCTTACTATTTTTTATGTTCATAAGGTATATTACAGTGCTTATTTTGAGATATTTTAAGTTATAAATTAGCCCATATTTCAACATTTTTTAGCACTATAAAATTTGAACATTTATATAATAACTTTATTATGAATAACTGTAAATTATAATAAATTAATAACTAACGAAAGGATATTATTCTTAAAAGAAAACTCAAAAAATATATGTGTTTATTAGCTGTATAATATAAACATATAAATTAAATGAAATAAACATTTAAAATATTCTAAACATTTTATGTTATAATGATATAGAAGTAAAATCAACGTTTCATGTTCGTTTTTATTCGATAGATAATAAATAGTTTAAGTTAATATGAATGTAGAATACATATTAATTTATAGATTTTTTTCACTTCTGATTAAATAAAATTAAAGTGATGTAGAAAAATGCTGACCCAAAACTATCTATGATAAAATAAATAAATTGAAAAAAGTAAACTAAGTAATCCCTAAAAAAAATATTTACTCACCTTAACTATACGTCACGTTGATATAATATTATACTAATATTTTCGTGGCGTATTGTAATATTATGTTTTACGCGTTTTAAGGTTTTGAAAATAGTGTGTGAAAAACGAATAGATTCAGTAGATTTCGTGACGTCAATTAGATTAGCGTTGAAGAAATATTTTGGCAACGAAACGGTTGGTAAGTATCTGCGTACGACTATATTATTATTATTATTATTATTTATTATATATTACTTATTTATCCGAAAAAATAATGTACCACACTCAATAGGTTCGTGTTTGTGAGTTCAAAGTTTACAAAAAAAGTTTTCAAAGTATCAAAATAATTGTTGATTAAACGATTCACATAGTAATAGTTGAAAAGCAGTTACGCAAATTCAGTCTAAACTATTTGAACATAATATATTAATAAAATTCGATGATATGAGCTACGTTTGTCAATTAAATGTGATTGTGTTATTTGTTTTTTCAGTATTGGGTGGAGTGATTTTAATAGAAAACGGTAAAGTGAAAGTTCACGTGTGTCCGGACTATTCGAAGACACCTCTGGACTCTGAAAAAAAATTAAAGGATTGGTTAAAGATCTACGACTTGCCTACGCCGTTGGTGTGCCTCGGTTACGTCGCCTCTCATGACGCAGTAATTATACTTATATTATTAATCGTTATGGTCATATATTGTGTTCGTTTTTCTGCCAAGATTTGTATTCCTGTTAACATTTATTCACGATTATGACATATTTGTCTTTAAAGCGAGAAAGAATTTTGCCATTTTGATAACAGTTATAGAAAATATTGGTGTATGTTTTTTTTTATATTTTAAAAACATTTTTAGTATATTATTTTTATATGAATATGGTATGAAAGAAAAGTTTAAAAATTAATTTTTTTTATTTATTTTTCAAAATTATCATAAAAAATTGTTAAAATGGTGTACCGTAATTTCGTCGCTTGACAATTCGACGGGGTCATTTGGATACACAAAATTGGTCTTGTGTAAAATCTACGCATGCTACATTTGGTCGTGTGTCGTTTCGTTAGTTTTAATATATATTTTGAGGATTCTGTCGCTGGACAGCCTTCCTCCTCATACTATTATCATGTATATATTCTCCATATAAATTACCATATTTGCTTAATGTACAAATGTTACAGATGGTAAATTTTCTATTTTAATAAAAAAAATACTAGTATACCCATTGCGAAAATTCGCAATAGATAATTTATTTATATTATAAAATGTATAGGTGCAACCGAATCAATACATAAACACATTTTAACAAATCAATAAATGAGTATAATATCGAAAATTGAAAGACATATCGAAATGACAGAGAGTGTTTATTAAAATATATGTTCCGCAGCATTAGGATAGACTATGTATAAGAGGGTGTAAATATTACATAAAATCATTTTACAGTGCTTCTTTCCAGACAATAACTAATATAAGTAATAATATTAGTATTGTTTGTGAGTTATTTGTTATTATACCACTGGGTAAAAGCCAATGAGAATGCAGTATTTGGAAAAAATTGAAAGTAAAGTTGATTGTGCACACATAACTTTCCTCAAACATAACGAATTTAAGCAGGTAATAGCTCAAAAAAAAAAGAGCTTGATCCACTGAGTGTTTTTAGAGTAAAACGATTAAGATCCATTAATTAGAAGAAAAGCTATGAGAATTCGAATATTGTTTGAGTGAATGTGTTCCATAAGAAACGTACAGGGAAAATTGCGTTGATTGGAGTTGAGTAAATTTCAATGGTTGATGACATATCGGTGTCTGATATCGGTGATGGTTTACTAATTTAAATTTAAATGGTTTTCGTATTAAAAATTAAAAATGTTGAAATTTGTAAAAAAATAAAAATATATAATGAAAAATCTTCAGTGACTAAATGCATTACACTTCAGCTTACATCATTATAATGTACATATATTTGTTTGTGCTTCGCAGGGCCTGGACATGATGCCTCTACAGCATTTCCATGTGTTCAGCGATCACGGTTCGGGTGGACATTATATGAACGATGTAGAACCGGCCACTATCAAATACACAGCTTATTTTAACATCGCTAAAAACTTCATCAGAGTCGATCAGCCAGAAGCACCTTTTTCGTTTGAAAACTTCTAAACGTTCGTTTAACTGTACAAATAAACCATTGCGTTGCTTTAATGTTTAGTCTTGAAGTTGTAGCAGTAGAAAAAATTAGTATAGATACTGTTTTAGCTGTGTACACTACGGAACTGAAACGTTTGTAAAATAGTGAAGTTTTTTTTTATAGTACAATTCGCTGTTTTAATTTTAAATACTTGATCAAGATTCAGTGCGAGATAAACACTAATTACATAGGAACGTTTAATTACGCGAGACAGAGTTTTCTTCATAGTGTTCAAAGTAATGTCCATCGTGTTCGAAGTTAACCTTGGTGAGGATGCAGCTACAAAAAACGTTAAATCTAATGTATGGAATCGAAAGATTTTACTTTGTTAATTCTAATGTTTAAGAACTTGATTTAAAGTGCCATTTATAATATAAAATATTGACGATTATTTTTTAAATTTTTTTATTTATTTTTAATCTTTTGTAATTTTATGCTGTGTCTGACATTTGAATGTCTCGCCAGAGCTTCGGAACAAATCTCGACACTCCGTCGTGTCCGCTTCCATCCAAAGGTATACGCTGTAACCAGTTTCGTCTCACGAGTTTACACTATTTCGATGCATTTTTTTTTTTTTTTTTTGAAGAATTCTCACTGGGCGGCAGACCATTTTTTCTCTCAAAACAGTCAATGTACAATAATTGGTGGTAGGATTGTGATATTAGGGTACCTAGTATTTCACGTTCTCTCTGCATAATTATTAAAAATACATCTTAATGCTGATAGAAAAAGTAATTATCGATAAAATATGACAATATATTATATTTTGTACAGATCTATAGTTCTGTATCCTGGTTATGTATCATAAATGGGGCTTAATTTTGGTTTAAGCTTTTTTCTGGTTGGGAGTAAGAATATATTTTTATTTAAATAGAAATATAATTTTCAAATGATTATGTAGTAGGTGTAAAACTACATTGTTGTATTAGTAAATTATATTCTGTAAAAAGTATATTGGCGTTTTTTTTTTATCTGATATGTAAATAAAATTATTTCATGTACCGAAATGCATGGTTATAGTATTCAACACACAATACTGTTATGACAGTATTGAACTGTCATAACACATTAAAACCTGTAGCTAATACACAATGTTGGAACCGTTTAATTAGATAAAATTTAACTGTTATTACACGGTTAATTAAACCAAATGAACACTGTTCTAATAAAGTTCTATATGTGCACGGTTACTAAATCGACATTTGATCTCGAAGTATACGGTTTAACCCATGTAAAATATCGGTATTCAAAATCAGAAAAAATGGTGTCCTGAACAGAATTTATACCGTGTTTTGAACTATCACAAGTGAATATTTTAAACGCTATCTGCACTGCAAATGCTACTCGGGTATTTATCGTAAATTAGCTAATTATTTTTTTTATACAATTTAGAATAAAAAAAAAGTTTTTTGATTATCAACGAATTGTGGTGTGTTCGTCCAGTCTTTCAATATACTATACAATATAACTAGGCAACAAAATATTTTTACTGAGCGACATTTGTATTTCCTAAGTAAATGGTCTTCAACCTTTTCGACTCATGACCCACTTTTCTTACCAAATATTTTTTGCGACCTATGTTAACTTCGTTGACCATGAAAACCAAATAAAAAAGTTAAAATTGTTTGATATAAGCCATTGTAGAAATGTTTTTATAACTGAATAAATTAATATATATATATATATATATTTTTTTTTTAAGTATCTATGTAATATTTAATTTTTATTATAAATAATTATACAAAAAAAATGTATGTAATGATACCGAAATAAGTATATGTTATAATACATATAACTGAAATTAAAAATGGTGTAAAGTTAAGATTTATTAATAATATTTGTGATAATTTTCAGAGTTTGGCTTTCGCTAAGTGGATTTACTATGTTGGATGGCATGTTCAGGTCTGTGTGTATTGAGGTATATTGTGTACACTCCTCTACTATGTGTTCGACAGTTAATGATAAGTGGCATTTGTCGCATATTGGTTGAGGCTTTTTTTCTAATTAAGTATGAGTGTTTGAGAAAATAAGTGTTTATTCTAATCTTCTTCTACAAATTTAAAATAGTATAAAATAGTATGGTTTCGGGTTTATACGAATATTGTTTTATTCGATATCATATGAAATATATAATAATATATATATGAATATGAATTTTTTAAATTTTTAACAGAAGACTTAACGTGACCCAAAATTGGGTAAAAGAACGCATTGTCTACGTAGTAACGGTAGTGTTGATAGTCGTCGTCACTGGTTCTTGCCAATACGGCAAAAATGCAATATCGCAAAGCATAATATGCAAACAAGATATTTAAAATTTAAGTATAGGTTACTAAGTGCAGTTACTCTGGTAAACTTTTAAAAACAAATTACCTAGAATTAAAAATAAACATAGCGCATACCTAATTCCAATATTCCCACTAAGTGTACGTGGCTCGAAAAAGTATCAAAAAAGTTTAAAAAACACACTACATCGTTTCGTGGTACGAGTCGCCGTCCGGGCAACGGTGAAAAGTGACGTACTGGCGACTGACCCGGCAGTGAACTATGTGCCGTAGTGGTGTCGGTCACCCCATCATAGTGTAGCCGAGTCGTATTAAGCTGGGTCCACACCAAAGCAACTAATTGTTCCTGAAAGTTGACAAGTGTTTATAATTGTTTTTGTTTCCTTGGAACAAACTGAATTATTTATATATACTCACTATCCACATCATAGCAACAAATTTCCTGTAACAACTTAATAGAAACAATTCAAAACCTGTTGATTTGTGTTTTTTGCGATCATGTGTCCACACACGTGGAACATTTTAGTATAGTCAGTACTAGAATTAAATAATTTTTAAGGTTAAATACACGATAAAGTGATTTTGAGGTTTTGTTATTGTGGAAAATTTCATTAAATTTATTTATGTTACAACGATTTAAGATATTTAAATCACTTCGTGGATTTCACAGACACTCTTTTTCATGGTAAAGTTCAATCAATAATATAGTTCTGTCATTTGTCCAAGTCATAATGATAAAAACCAAAGTAATTATTAAAACAAATTAATTAACTTAATACTTTAATTAATAAATTGAAAAAAAATATGACCAGAAGCATCGAGTATAAAAACTACACGCTATAGAGACACGTGGCAACTGGCAACACAACTGTCACTATTTGTTACCAATTTTTCATTGTTTAGTGGAAAAATGTTTTCCCGTGTTTCGATTTTAATCGAAACATGAAACAAATAGAAACTTTTGCTACTGGCAACTTAAACATGCAGTGGTTTTTGTCAACATTTGTCAACTTTTGAGTAAGCAACATGTTGCAAGTGAAAAAGTTGCTGTATGTTGCTCTAGTGCGGACCCGGCTTTACGTTACATCGGCCGCGGAGAGTCATTTCGTCGACGTCGATTGCGGCCAACGCGTTTTCAGAGTCGAGTGGGCAAGTGTTAGTCCGGCCTCACCACCGTCATCGTCGTAGACCACGTCACGACCGCTAACTGTGGGCCGTACACGAAAACGGTTTAACTGTTGGATTCGGGATGACACATTCCTTCCGTTCCACCGATACGGTTCGCAGAATTGGAACGTCGGAGCACAACATTTTTCTCGTGCGTGCACCGTCATTCTAGATCCGCCGAATTATCAACGCCCCTTTGAAATGTGACGACTAAGATATGTAGGTTTATGTTAAAAACTGTCGACTTTCCCTTTGGTCAGGTCCTTTGATCTTTCAACGTGTTAAACGTATTTAAAAACAGTATGGGTTGTTTATTTAGTTATGTGTGACTCAATAATTCGTAAAAATGTTTACGAAATGGTTTTATTACAATATCGAATTCACTTTCAAATAAATCTTAACTTATAAATATTAAATATTTTGTGACGAACGCAATTGAAGCTCCTAGATTTAGAATGTTTACAAAGTCTTTATGCTTATCGAAATGTCTACTTTCATACATAAGAACCATTCTAGCGTGTAAAGGTTTTTTTTTTTTGCTTTGACTTGATTAACTGATATGCGCGTGTATAAAGCAAATTGTTTTCGGTTGACTAACATAATTTTGGTCTTTTGGTGTGCGATAGGCTAACTCAAGACTATTCTAAATTGTGTCTACTTACGTCACACGAAATGCAAACACTAATAATACAATTTTTTGTTAACGCCAGAGTGTCTGGCTGCTGTTGCCGGTTGTTCTTCAATGAAAAACGATTTGCTACTTCGTGATCGTTTGTTCACCAAATGAAAAAAGAAATAAGATAAAATGATAACAAAATTGAGACACAAAAGAACTCTATAATTATTTTGCATAAATAAATTAGTAAATAAGTAAGCTGCGGCAGGCGACGGCGACCGGTTGATCGATGAGTGTTTTTCTTATCGGTCACGGAGAAACACAAATAGTTGTTAACAACTTATAATAATTTATAAAGTTTAATGTACTGGAGGCTGGAGCGTGACATGTTTTAAGGATTAATATTTAGGCATTTCATATAGTATTTATATTTGAGCTGTGTGAGAAGTAAATTAATGTTAGTGTGTGTAATTCATAAAATTTGTTATCGTGTTCTTGTACCACCGGCACTCAACCACATTATGTATTGCCGGAACTACAGCGTACCATGATAATTAGTTTATCTAGGTACTTGTTTTATACATCCATAATTTTTTCATCCAAGTATATTAAACAAATGTATAATAACGATCTAATGTTGTAATCACTTACTGTAATTATTTTTTATTAAAATCTAATTTAATACTAATGTATGAGGTTCTTCTATAGGTGATGTATATTCCTAACATAAATATATAATAATTAAATAAAATGATTTTGCCCAATGATCATCATTATAAAACTCGCCATTTTCATACTGTTTATAAGGGGTTATAAGTTCTGATGTTAGACTATGTTGAAAATTATCTTCCGGTATAACTTGTAGATTTGTTGTATTCGAAGAAGTAGATGATGTTTGATTTATAAAATGTATTTACAACAATTTATAACTTTAGAAAATATATGATGACAAGTGGTTACGGTTGATGTACAGTAGGTTATAACTTATAAGTGGTCCACAAACTAAAATTAGGTGGTTTTCATTGTCTGATTTCAAAATGAGAAAAATTCAATTTTTTTTTTTTTTAATATTATGTCTATATCCTGTCGAGTTCAGATATGTAACTAGAAATTTATAAATATTTTTAAAACTCAAGTTATAGCTATTTTAATAAGACATTTTTCAATATATCTAATATTTTATTTTAATTTCGAACATAAATTGCATATTTTATATATTTTATTTTATACATATTTTTTGCCACAATAAAACTAAAAAAAAAAAAAAAAAAATTTATTTTTCAAATAGTACTATTCGTATTCTATAAATAGAAACAATAATGAGAA